TCAAGTAAAGCGCCAAAATATTGATTTCTAGTGATCCAATACTCCGATCGCGTAGATCAATTGATGCTCACCTACATTGGCGATGGAATCAGAGCCTGGCGAGAGAACACTCACAAGGGAACACCAGATCATCCTCCTCCGAAGCAAGCGCTTCCCCGAGGATTACAGCATGCGAATGTAAAATCTTCCCAACGCTGGTGGAATCGCAAGGATTCAACATACCAGAGAAAGTTCGACGTCTTTAACTTCTTGGCCCGTCCGGCGTGGCCATCGAAAACAAAAAGTTCCTCCCTGGAGCAGAAGTAGAAAAAGAGCGACTGGTGAGTAAAAGGTTGGAGGAGAGAAGTGGAGACTACTGGCAAACGGGGAATACCTCCAGTGTGTATACCGGAACGGTCTTCGTCGCCGAAGTTCTTGCTGTTAGCTCGGGTGTAGGAGTGCAGAGGTCAAAGTTAGATAGAGGTGGGCAGGTCGAGAGTCGAGAGTCGAGAGTAGCGGGAATTTGGAGCTAACAGCCGTCCCATTAGCTCCACGCACACTGAGGGAGGAAAATGTTTGAGAGGACACTTGGACTTGGTGCCTTATGTGTGGCATTTGTGGGGCGCAGATTTATACTGCAGTTAACATGCCAACCGAGCCACCATTCGATTGGTATCCTTTTGCCAGTTAATCTTCGGTATTTATAGGGGAGGCTGGGTCATGACGCAGCTTATGTTGTTGAAGTAGTTTTCTAGGGGAGGCTGGGTCATGTTGTAATTGAAGCAGTTGGTTCTGAATTTGTGAAATTTGTATTGTAATTGAATTGATGGGATCCTGTTTAACAGCATCTAGTTTTTGTATTAAAGGACCATCAACAGAGCGAGTTCACATCTGTGCCACACAATGCACCTACGCCGTGTAGTGGGAATATCTCCCGATGATAATATCAGACTCGATGATGTCATCTTCTGGAGATGTTTTTAATACAAGGCGGGGATGCGGTGTGGGACGTTGTGGGGGTGTTTTATCGTGGGGCGTAGATCTGAACTTCAACAGAGCACCGTGCCATATCAAAAGTGTCATGAAAGGATGGGTGGTCAAACCAAAGCGCCTCATCAAAACGCTAGTGTCTGTTTGGCTTGCAGTCAGTATGGGAATCAAAATCAGAATCAAAGGCCTCGTTTGGCATCATTTCAAAGAATCAATTCTCTTAGTATGAGAATGGTATTTGATAGAGAGAAGCCACCAATTCTATTTTGAATGAGGATGGCTTTTTCGCTCCAAAAATTGGATTCTAGGGAGTGAAAAACTTTCACTTCTTGGTTGGGTGGCAAATGGGTGGAGTGGGTTGGATTAGACAAAGGTTGAATATCAACCCACCCATATTCATCCACCAACCCATCATGACCCATTACCAATCTTTGTTAAAGTACTTTCATAAAAGTACTTTCATAAAATCACTTTTATGAAAATGATTTTATGATTTCATAAAAATACTTTTATAGAAATAATTTTAAAAAAATACTTTCATAAAAGTACTTTAATCACATTCACTATTTGCTCTTTTTTCATTCATTCTACCTCGTGGGTAAAAATTACGAAGACTATCACATTCACTGTTTTCCTCTCCCAATCATTCCATCTTTAGAGACGTATCTTTAACAGTAACATCACCTTCTCCTATGTCGTGGTGGTTGGTCTCTCCGTAGGCATTTGTTTGCTGTCTTTCATTTTTTTCTTATCTCGATCTTTGTTCGAAAGACAAAAATTTCATGTTTTGTTTGATATTCTTTTTTCCAAAAAATCTAGAAATCTCAAAACCATCGAGTTTTCTACTCGTTCGTTCACAGGTATAAACCTCTTATTACTTGAAGATAGAATATTATTTTTTTTATGGAGCACTTCCTAGCGGTTCATTGAAGCCGGTGGTCAACTTCCATATATTGTTTTCTTTGTTTCCCCCTATTTGCGTCGTTTTAAGTCTCACTGAAGTTATTGAAACTGAAAACGATGGGATTCCAATTCTTAATGTGATTGTGTTGTTCAATGTTTAGGGTAGATTTGATAAATCCTAGTTTCACCTTTTCCACTCTCTTAAGATTCATATCTATTGCTTTCTGCCCCTCCCCTGACTACATTGCTTCCTCTTCAAACATCTCATTTTCTTGAATCACTCATCAATGCAAACGGGATTTCCTACTCAATGATTTATTCTCATAATTTGTTTGGTTCAGACAGAAATAAGAATGAAAATTAAAATCAACAAGAATGAGATTTCATTCCTAAGGGAGGGACAGTGAATGATCATTCCCTCAAATGGGGATTCCAATTTCATCAAACTAAACAGTTGAAATCTGAATAACATATTCCAATTCCGGAGACCTATTATTCCCACGAACCAAATGGACCTTAGTGTTGCTTGTCCTCCATTCAGAAAATAACTGAAGTAGAATTGGTGCGTGATCGCTAGCTGATGCAAGTAAATGGTGGATTGAAGCATTACGGAACAACTGAATCTAATAAACTGATCGACCCAAGAACACTATCTAATCTCATCTCTATGGGGGGACTGCTGGACGATGATTATGCCAAGTGAAGTGAAAGGAGACCCATGATCGATACATCAAGGTCTGAAGAAGCTATGATAGGGGATGGGGTGAAACCGCCACTAGTCTTTTCTTCCATGCTTGTGATGAAATTCAAGTTGCCCATGATTGAAACACCAAGGTCCTGACTCCTAAGAATCAGATCACGAAGATAACTGTTGCGACTAGACCTGTTCATGGGCTGGGTGGCCTGACGGGCCGGCCCGGCCTCTGGATGGGCTTGAACAGGCTTTTTGGCCCGCGGGCTTAACCTCGGGCCAAAAAGCCCGACCCGCATAAAATTCGAGTCGGGCTCGGGCTTTGCCAAAATAGCCCGGCCCGACCTATAGTGAAACCTAAGTAAAATCCTTATGTAATATCCATTTGAATAATTTTTTTTGATTTAAGAAGGTTGTTGATTCACTTGTAGGCCCATTGTTCATTTAAATAGGGAAAAAACATCTGAATTAAAATAGATAATATCCATTTGAATAGGGAAAAATTCGAATTTCTTTTATTAGGTCGGGCTTTGTGCTCGGGCTCGGACTTCGGGCTTTTTATCAGGGTCGGGCTCGGGCCCAAGTTGTAGGCCCGTTGGTCGGGCCGGGCTCGGGCTCGGGCCTAACATTTTTCTGTTAATCAAGAGTAAAAGCCCAGCCTGAGCCCAGTCCAGCCCATGAATAGGTCTAGTTGCGACCAGTAGAAATGGGTTGCGCATAAAAACAACATATATATATATACACCAAAAAGCAAGCCATGCATTGAGAAATTTGTGCAAAAATATATAATGAGAAGATGCCGCTAGCCTATTGGTCACTGCTTATGTATTTGGGATTTGCTCCTCACAACACATTTGCTTGTGATTGCTGTGAGCTCGAGGATGGTGTGAGGAGCGATTTATCGTGAGGAGAGTAGATCTGATTTCGTCTCATCTGCAACAAGCAAGAGAACTTGGCAACTGAGCCTTCAGTTGGTGGGCTGGATTTTTTAATTTGGTCACGATGATTCCAGCACAGGGAAATTTATAATGCGGGAAAGACATGATATATGGTATGGAAAAAGTTATGATCAATCAAAACTCAATCCATGAATTTTGATAAATAACACCTGATTGAGCACACGTTTATGATTTACCGTCTTGCCTCAAGTAGAATCATATAAAAATAGTCAGTATTTGTATTCAATCGGGTAAATTTTTACTAAGGCTTGAGGTCATGAACTATTTGACAAATATTTAAGGATCCCTGAAATTTCAAAGCCTACTGTTTTTGTAAATTTGAGTTTCATAAATCAAGTCTAAGCAGTTCAATTGAACGGAAAAGACTATTTTGCCCTTATCACTATTTTTTACATTTTCCTTTTTAGTTACTTAGTCTTCCATTCCACTGAAGAATTTTATTTCTTAATTACCATCAGAAAGTAGGGGTGTAAATGGATCGAATTCAAATCAGATTATGCAATATCTGAATTCGAATCGGATTAAAAAATTTGATATCCGAATTCAGTTCGATATCTGATAGATATTAAAAATTAATATTTGATTCAGTTCGAATTCAACTAATTAATTATTTTAGGTAATTAATAAATATTTTAGTTATATAAATTATTTATATAATTTAATTAATATATATATATATATTATAAAACATTTAAAAATTTTATATATTATATATAAGAATTAAATAATCGATCCAATTTGGATATTTATTGAATCAAATCAGGTTATATCTAATTTTGAAACCCATTAGCTATTCGATATAAATAATAAATACAATATCCAAATTTGTCCGATTAAATATTCGAATTATCCGAATTGATTTGATTATATAGAATTTTGAATTCAAAATCCGATTTTCGAATACAGTTGATGCGAAGATCGCAGTAAGAAGAGGAATAACGCTGCTATATGAACCCACACATACTCGATATCTCTTTGGTCTGAGAGTCAAAGGCAGGGTTGTCACTCAGAGAATTGACCAGGACCCGCACAAATGGTTCTTTACAGTATGGGCCATGAGGTTGGCATTCTGTATATATATGGCTCGTGATCTGGTTTATAACATGTTCGACATCAGTCCCCACCCTTGGTGGTTGCAAATTCGATTCACTAAGCTGACCTGCTGGGAAGTATGAAACCAGCCCAGATTTCCCATCTGTCGTTCACTTTCTCACGGATGCTGGTAGAAATGAAAATTTGACGATTAAGTTTGATGAATTGGAAGAGAGGTAAAAATTTTATGAGTGGATTCATTTTCACGGAGCGTTCAAACTCTCCATTGCCACAGCTCTTCAATTGAATGATTGAACGAGATAGATACTCCATCAGCATCAAGTGTTCAGGTAATTAAAAAGGAATATAATAACAAGAAAAAAGGAAAGAAATGCCTCTATAAAACATCCCATCTGTCGTACGAGATTTATTAATGGTTCACCGCCTCAATCATTATACCCTGGAGCTATTTCTTCTATGACCAGCCTCCTAGCTCTGTTGATAGTGAGGAAGCTCAAGTAGACATGCTCCTCGAGTTCCTCTAGCTGCTCCCGGAAACAAGACTCGTGGGTTTCAAAGTCATTTACAACCACCTCCAATATCTGCCTATTCCGGCTCTGCGCACACATTTTAGCTATCGCCTTTCCATGCTCTATCTCGTCATTCAACCTCTTCACAAGCCGGCTGATTGTGTCCATGTCCCCATTTAGAATAAATATCCCCCTCGCTGCTGCATCAAGCTGTGCATCCAGCCTTGCGAGCTTGCTTCTCTTCAGCCCAAGCCAGTCACACTTTAACTTCTTCATGAAAGCCAACATCCCAGCAGCTGGTATTGCCGCTATGCCGATCAATGTGTGCACAGCAAGGACTATGGCTCCAAAGCCAAGTGCAGCACAAGCGATAACGAGGCTTAATCTAGCAGCCTTCTCGCTTAAGCCCATCAGCTTTTCTCTTCTTACTATCTTTCTACGCTTTGACCTTAGCCGCTTGAGCAACAGCCTATATCGGTCATGAATCAGACGGAATTGCACCGGGCTTGAGCGAGAGAGCGGGTTGTCGAGCTTCGCAAATGAGTCGAGTTCACGGAACTTAATTCGACACTGATCATCAGTGTAACTGCTATAGTCAGCTGGTAGCGTTTCGGTCAGGCTGATGATCCTTTGAATGATACAATAGTTGATGCGTGTTTGATTGATTCTCTGCAGAAGGAACTCGCATATCTTGCATGCTTCAAAGCTGCCGTCGAAGTAATCGATGAGAAGGAAGTGGAGTTCAGAGTTGTCGATCATCTCGGCTACGAGTTCTTGCGGAGGTTCGAGCAAGAAATCGGAGAGACGTGAGTAGGAACGTGAAGGAGACAAGGGGGAGGCTCTATCTTGGTTTGTGGATTGAAGTTGATCTTTAACTTTGCTGCATATGTCTATAAAAGACTTGGTCCTGAAGGCTTCCATGTATTCCTCATTTACGCTTAACTTGTTTCGCACGCGACCAACTTGTTTGATTGAAGATCCGCCTAAGAAAATCACAAGGAAAAACAAAGAGAGAAGGAGACAAATCAGAAACGGAAACCTTACAAACCTCGACCTCGAGGGCTTTATCTCTCTGCACTTGTCCTCTATTTCCCATCATCCAAGACTTCAAAACCCTGTGAATCTAGTGGATCAAAATCAGAAACAGAGCTTATTAATCTAGAGGCTTTCGGGAGCTTTCTCTTTATCTCTCTCCAGACCAAAAACCCATGTAGATAATCTCAAATTTAGGACCTTGCATGTTTGACAATGCCTACTATGAATCAGCTACAAAAATATAAACCGTCCCAAAACCCAAAGAAATCCATATTAAGAAGCCAAAAACAACAAATCTCCATATATGTGCAAAATGCCCATGAGAACGAATCAAATTCAGTAGACTCACCTCTCTTAAGAGAAGATTTCAACTTGGGCCACATGATCTTTGTGATCTGTGACATCAGACACAGGGGTTTCACTATTTTCGCCTGGTTGATTGAATTTAAGAAGGAATAATCTCCCTCAGAAGCGGAGCTTGCCACCCACACGATAACTTCAGTAATGTGGTGAATGGTGTTGACACGATAGATCAAATTGCAGTCTCTGTGCTCCGTGCTCATTTTTCTGCAAAACAAACCCTACGCTCTGTAAGAGTTTGGTTTGTATTATTTATAAGCAAGGACCCATTAATCATTACTTTCAAAGTCCAAAGATACCAATCCACAAGTTGGTGATCTTAGTTTTCACTCAATCTCTGGTAGACACCTCTATAGTCTATAGATATCTCAGTCTATAACTTGGGCCTACAGTAGATAAAAGTTGTGCATATATATGCCTGGCAGGTGGCAATGTAGCGTTGCTCCCACGTATGTAGCTAGAGATTATAATGGATATTTTAGACAGCCAAGTGACTCTACTGATCTTATGACCATGTAGATAATTTGTCTGATTAGCGAGGTGAATTATTTTGCCACGTGTTCCACTCTAATGAAAGTCTAACTCTCCTCTTTGGGATGGTTACGGATCTAGGATGATTTTGGTGCACGGTACCTTGCTAGCTGCTAGCCGCAACCCATTATTTTTCAAACAAGAAATTAAAACCATTATTCGGTCTAGCTCCAAGTTTTCACACACAAATACAAATAATAGAGAAATAAAAAATAAAAAATAAAAAAGATGATGTAGGCAAATGCACCACATGACACTCCTACAGCTCTAGGCCGGTTTCTTAGCGACAGTGGATCAATTATGGTATGCCATGTCAGCAACCACGTGAAAAAAAGCGGATGATGTGGTATGCCGTGATAGGTCCAGTATTACGAGTAGAACTATAGAAGATAGGGGGTACATACGTAAGAGTTGAGTGCATGGTTAAGAAGATAGATACACACGGCTTGGCTAACAACAGCCGGGTTTTATTGTTAATAAATCTCTTCTTTCCAGTTTTCATATGGTGCAGGCCTTTTTTTTTTTCGGGAAATTGTCTAAAAAAATTACCATGAGTTTTCAACATTCTCTTAATCTCACGACAATTTTTTAAAATGTCTAAAAATATTTATTTTTTAAAACTCACTTTCCATTAGTGCACCGTTAATGCTTCTCAATAGAGGTGTCCATGTCAACATAAATAACATTTTTCATGACCAAATTATCCTTGAATAGTGAGTTAGAGAAAAAATGATTTGTTTTATTTTCATTTTTTTTGTATTTTTAGTGTTTTTTTATAATTTGTTTTTTTTATATTTTTTTATTTTCTACAATCTATAAATTGTCCTATATTTTTTGTTATTTATTTGCAATTTCTGTGTTTTTCTAAAACTTTTAGTGTTTTTTCAACAATTTTTATTTTCTGATTTTGTTTTTCAATTTCTATAGTTTCTATAACTCGAAAATAATTTTTTATTTTGTTTGCAATTTCTATTATTTTTTATTTTTTTTGTAATTTCTATGTTTTATGTATTTTATATTTGAAAATATTTTTTGAACTTTTTCCTTTTTCATATCTAAATATTAAAATGGTAATATATTAGTACCCGTTAATTTATTTTGTATATATTTTATATTTTTCTATAAAGGTTAAAATGGTAATATTATCCATTAGTTTGTTTACAGTCAGGTTAGTCACATGGTGAGTTTTATACATTTTGAAAATTTGTGGTAAGTTTAAGAGAAATGTTGAAAACTCATGGTGATTGTTAGACAATTTTCCCTTTTTTTTGATAAATCAATGAAGGCCTATTTCAAACGAGAGAGAGAGAACTCTGCTCAATGCATGCACGGATTGATGTGGGTTAGGACTTCTTCTGTCTTGCTTCCATGCAATTCACCAGCTTACATCGATCTAGAGAGGCATAGAAGGGGTCCCTCAGGTTTGGACTTTGGATTCGTCTAGTGGCCATACCAGCTCAATTCTAGTCTCGACATAATGTGGCCTTGAAAAGACTGGTTTCTAGATAAAGAAAACAAAGAGAGATGATGGAAAAAAGGGATGATGAGGAAGAAAAAGGAAGAAGAATAATGAAATAAGCTTAAGCAATACTATTCTAAAACCCAGATGATCGATCGTGTGCTAGTTGACTATGTAGAGTCGGGCTAGTCTTTGTGAACGGGAGCAAGAAAATAGTGCGCCCAGAAACTAAGGCAGCACTTGTTTGAGGTGTAATTTTAAATTTTATACCATGGAAAAATGTGAACCGGTTTAGTGATCGACGGAAACTAGGACCGGTTGATTTTGAAAATTTACACCGATCATGTTTGGTTTTCTAAGGTGTAAATTAAAAAGCAATTTGATTAAAGGTGAACAAAATGGGTCTCGACGAAAAAAGGTGAACAAGAAATGCTTACGCAGTGAATCTTACCGCTGTGCAGTGAATCTTATGCAATGCTTTAATGCGTACACCGGCAGGATTAGCACTGATACGCCGCTCAACGCTGCCGAAACTCTGATACGCTGCTCACTGCTCACCACTCACTGATATGCCAGAGCTGGTTCACTCTTTTCTTCGATCGAACTTTGATACGTCGCCGTCACTCACCGCTCACTCATACTCTCTTCTCCGATCGAACTCAGATACGCTCACCACTCACTGATACGTCGCCACTCACTGCTACGTTAGAGCTGGTTCACTCTCTGGACGGAACTCCGATACGTCGCTATCATCGCATTAGTTCACTCTCTTCTTTGATCGAACTCTAATATCCTGCTACCGCTCACTGCTCACTGATACTCTCTTCTTCGATCGAACTTTGATACACTCACCACTCACTGATACGCCGGAACTGGTTCACTCTCTGGACAGAAGTTTGATATGCCGCACCATCGCATTGGTTCACTCTCTTCTTCAATCGAACAAAGAGATGTAGCCGTTGGACAGAGGAAGAGGAAAGTAAAGTTTACATTGATTTTATCGATGTAAACTTTCCATTGATTTTCGATGAATATATTGACAAGAATGGACTTTTACACCCATTGATGAGGTATATTAACACCTCTACCAAATGCCTGCAAAATCGAACCGAGGTGTAAAGTTTACCTCGGTTCTCATTTACAAATCTACCAAACATAGCCTAAGGTGATGTTTGGCATTCATGATGATTTCTCTAAAATTGGCGCCATGTAGAATTTGAAGAATTAGTGATTTTTTTTTCTTGTTTGATTGGCCAATTATGCCAATTTGTAGGAAATCTGGCAAAATTTGCTTATTGACATCAGCCCTTTTCAGGGATCACCCATTCTGCTAATTAAACTAATTTCGATTTTTTGAGGATGACATAACATCCAACATGACATTTAGGTGGCGTTCGATTGCACTTTTCAGATGTTTGAATCTGAAAATGTTGCTTTTCAAACGCCACCTTTGTTTGGTGTTGCATTTGAAATGGGGTCTGAAAACTTTTATCAAATCTGAAATTTTTAGACTTAGGCCTATCACTTAACACATTAAGATGCGTTTCGGATGTGGTCAAAAGTCAAAACTATCCCTCCCCATTCGACCTTCTTTTTCTCGTCTTCATACATCTCTCTCTCCCTCTCTCTCTCCCTCTCTTTCTCTCTCTTCACCCTGTCTTCCCACCACCGACGCTGCAACTTGCAGTGGCAACTCTCTCTCTCCCTCCCCCTGTCTTCCCGGTTCTCTCTCTCTTGCTCTTGCTCTCTCTCTCTCTCTCTCAATAGCGGGGGTTCGGTGAGTAATAATAGTATTTTTATTAATTATTTAAATATTTTTTATTAAAATTTATTTTGTTATTAAATTTACTTGTATTTATTAAGTACTTTTATTAACTAGTATTTTTTATTTATTTCATTAATTTTTAAAAATTATTTTATTTTTTATTTGTGTAAATTATTAGTTATTTTAATATTTTTGTTGTCATTAATTATTTTTTTTTTAATTTTAATCGTTTCATTAGTTAATTAGTAATTATTAATTTATTGTTGTTTATTTGTATTGTTTCAATATTATTTTGAGGTTGAAAATTATTTTTTATGAGATAATGCAAATTGAACTCAATATTTCAAAATAATATATTCTAGGGGTAAAATAGTAAAATCAGTAAATTTCAGATGGTAAAGAGTTGATCCCACACAAACTAACTTATAGATTCAGATCCTCTAAAAATTAGAAATACATCTATGACTCTTTTCACATTTAAAACACTTAAAATCTTTTTAACTTTTTAGATCTGAATTTTCAGATTTATCAAACGCCACGTGAATAATAACTCTAATACAAAAATAATCGGCCTTTAAAAATCACTGATTCCATAAATCACCCGTTTCTGGATAACCAGTAAATCCATGCTAAGCATCATCTAAAAACATGTCCAGAATTAAACATTTTTTGGGATAATGGGAATTGGACCTATATATCTTGCGGCCAGAGGCTGGCCAAAAAGTCCAGGATCTGGGACCAACATAAGATTTATGTCTAAAAAGATTATTA